CTGATCCCTCAGGCCACCCCAATATTTCACATCCCAGATGCAAGACTCACACCCACTTCTCTCCCCACTTCCAGAGAAGAGAAGGCAAAAGATGTGGCTCCTAAGGAAAGCAGACTTTGATAGAAGTACTTGAACCACTTAAAAACCTGCCTAGGACATGATCGCATTCACAAGAAATCTCCAGAATAGGCAAATCTACAGAGATCAAAAGTGGATTTGAGGTTGCCTAAGCCAGTAGGAGTTGGGTGGGAAGGGGTGACAAAGGGTATAGGTTTTGGGGTGAAGAAATGTTCTATAATTAGATAGTGGTGATGGTTGCAGAGTTCTGTGAATATACTAAAAACCACTGAATTGCGTGCTTTAAACGTGTGCATTCCGGGCAGTCTGCTACAGCTCAATGAAGTGGGTAGTAGGCTCAAGGCTTCCCTCAGTAGCCCCAGCCCTTACATAGAAAGTCACCAGAGCGACATCCGTCAGAATAAGGGAGATGCTGCTTCTAGCACAACTCCACTTGATATACCAGACACCTGCAGCACCTGCCTATTTGAAGGACCATAAGCTCACCTGAGCAGCAGGAGTAGCTGATTGGCCCCCCTAGGGAAAACGAAGCCGCCATCTATAACAGGGACTAGAACCCCGTGCCTGTTTGTATCTGATAAATGAAAGAGTCAGGAAATCAATGAAGGAACGATTGCTATCACCTGCCAGGTTAGTGAGTACACCTGGGAGAGAACCGGGGGTCCATCTCCCCCTTACAGCCCTTTACACACACAGCTCCACTTCACTTTGATTTGTCATGCAAACCAACTGGCCCAGGTGAAGGTGCCTGGATTAAGTCTCCCAGTTTCCAAGGGCTTCTATGGCTCTCCCAGAGGCTCAGAGTCATGATGTGAACGCCAACGGGCACAATGGCCTCGCCTTTGCCAGTCCTGCTGGCCTTTCACAACGAGAGCAGGAAATAAATGACTCAAATGTTCCTTTTGGCTCAGGCAATTGTTTAAATGAGATTTTTGCCTTCAGCTGCCAAGCAAGGAGGGCAGTTCCTTCAGGCCCCTCTTGGCTGATCCCAGGGTGAACTGGACACAGGTTTATGTGCCAATTTGTTTTACTAAGTGCAAACTGCTGCTGATCAGGCCACCGAAAATCAGCACAAAGGCCCCAGGAACCCCTCAGTTCACCAGGGAGCAGGGAATGTCTGCCCTCTCTGAAATGTTTCCAGAACAAATCCTGAGGTTTATTGCCCAATTCAGAGGCCCTGCAGCTGCCCTGCTGGGTCCTGAAGTCTAGGGGAGCAGATTGCTCCCCTGTTTTTTTTTTGAGCCCAGTGACTTGAGGAGCCCAGAAATGAACCAGCACATGAGAAGGGCGCCAGGGCAAACTGGGTTTGAAAATGATTTTGGAATCTTGGCTTAGTACTGGGTGGCCTTGGAAAGGTTTCCTGTCCTGTCTGGGGCTTGGAGTCCTGGTATGGCCTGAAAGGGCAGGGACGTATCACAGAGGAGGTTCCTGCCAGGGTCTGGCACATGACAAGTGCTCACAAAGGTCCTTTCTCCATCCCTGCAGTCAATTCACAGTGTCACCTGCCCCGCCTCTCTTGCAGCCTCATTCCCTGAAGATGCCCCCACTGCCAGCTCCTCTCAAAGGGAGGACAGAATGCTATGGGGGTTAAGAGGCAGGGGGCCTGCATGGTCAGTCGGGACCCTCCAAATCCTCAAAACTTGCCAAGGACCCTGGGGAAAGTTACTTACCTCCTGTGTGCCATCTCTTCTGAAAAATGAGGCTAAGGACGATTCTTGCATCAGAGGCTTCTTGTGAGGAGTGGGAGGCAGCAGGGGGAAGCCTTGTGAGCAATGCAATGTTGGCCAGTGATGGACCACACAGCAGGCTACGTGATTAAGTCAGTCCACTTCGAGTCTGCTCAGTAACTCTCCTTTGCCAGAATGAGAGCAACCCACAGGCAGGGCCCAAGCCTCCTGTGGCCAGTCAGTGGTCTGCATCTGGCCAAAATTTGTTACCCATTGGCTCCTCCCAGAACCAGTGGGGAAGGGGCTGGCAATTCCACCTGTGGGGATCCTTGGCTTCCTGGGTCCACTAAAGCAGTTCTCTTTCATTCTGAACCTGGAACCCATTAGACCCCCACCCCCTGAACTACATGCTATATTGTGTATGTGGCTGGATATTTTGAAAGAGGAATTCCTCACCTTTGGCAGATCCTTGGGAGAGTTTGTCTCAGCTTCCTTTCTCCATTTTATTTCCTAATAGCATTTCACTGGCTCTGAAATGCTATTAGGAAATAAAATTGTTTCCTTTTCATTGTCTGTCTCCACCACTAGAATGGAAGCTCCAAGAGACTCAATGGTTGTGTCCCCAGATCCTAAAACAGAGACTAGGTCTCAGTATCTTGTGAATGAATGAGCAGATGAGGTATTTTGATCCAAAGGTAGAACTGCAGACCTGCTCTGCAGTGGGAGTCTGGGCCAGCCCTGCAGTCTGTGGGGGTTCTCTTCTAGGTGCTGCATCTGGGCTGGAGATCACTAGAGCAGAGACCAGTGAATGGGAGTATGTTCAAGACCCACCTGAGCAGAGAAGAACCTAGAGGGCCTTGGAGCACACTTATTTATCCTGCCATCTTCCAGAGAGGAGAAAGGGCTGTTTTTGCTTTTTTCTTTTTCTCTCTTATTTTCTCTTTCCTCTGTTGTGAGACAGGGTCTCACTATGTTGCCCAGGCTGGTTTTGAACTCATGGGTTCAAGTGATCCTCCCACCTCAACCTCCCCAGTAGCTGGGACTGTAAGCAGGTGCTGTCATAAGCAGGCTCACTATTTTTGACTGCTGTATAATACCCTGTCCCAAATCTTTGGGGCTTAAGGACAATTTTACCATATCTCACAATTTTATGCTCAGGGATTCCTTCAGTTACTGCTTAGCTGGGTGATCCCTCTGCCCCACATGGCAGTGACTGGGATCACTTGGTGGTGTTCAACTGATAGACAGGCTGGTCTAGAGGATGCAAGATGGCTCAGAGTCTGTTCCCTGGAGCATCTGTGTCTGGCTGCTCTACTCAGGTGGCTCTCAGCTCCCAGAGGCCAAGGCAGACACTTCAAGGCTGCTTTTGACCTGGCCCTGGATGTCACATACCACCATTTCCACCATATCCAACTGGCTACAGACAAGTCACAGAGTCACCGGATTCAAAAGAAAGGAACGTGAATGACACAGGACCACTGGGTGGTGGTGTCTCCCCCTGGCTGGGTTTAGAGGACAGAGGCTAAAGCAGGGATGCTAAATAGGGCTGGGAAAAGGTCAAGAGCCTCACCCCTTTGACTTGCAAAACAAGAACCCAAGGACCATGAAGCCACCCCCCCAAAAAAAAAACCCCACCAAACTTTAGCTGACCCCATATTCTTTGATACTTGGCTCAAACATTACTGACCACTCACCTACTTTCATTTTCAGGCAGATCTGGGACATACCTCCTTCGTCAGACCTGCAGACCCAGTGAAGAGAAGGGTGTCCTCTGCTGACACCAAGTTCCAGGATCTGGAGGCCACTGCTCCTTCAACCTTCAAACCCCTCAGCCCCATCTGACCATGCCAACCTCTGAGAAATGTGCCTGAGAATTCAATAATCAGCAGCTGGTTGCTCTGGCAACACTTCAGATGGTTCAGGAGAGAGGAGGGCAATTCCCAAAGTGCTCCTGGTTGCTCCAGCACCATCCAAGGGAGATCTCAGACAAGCCAACACAGGAGGCTGGGGAAGATCAGAACACTCTAAAAACGCAGTGGGGATGGGAACACAGGCCACAAACCCTAACCTTGGGCAAAGGGAGATAACCTGGCTTTCAGGAAGAAAGTCTCCATGGTTTCAGAGATGTTAGGAATCCATATCTCAGCACTTCCTGAAGAACTGACAACCCTCTATAAAACATGGGTGGAGGGGCTGCATTTCTCCTTTTTTGGTACCAGGGATTGAACCTAGCAGTGCTTAACCACTGTGCCACATCCCCAGCCCTTTTATATTTTATTTAGGGATAGGGTCTCACTGAGTTGCTTAGGGCCTCACTAAATTGCTGGGGCTGGCTTTGAACTCCAGATCCTCCTGCCTCTGCCTCCTGAGTTGCTGGGATTACAGGTTTGTGCCACCATAACTGGCTTCATTTCTTTATTTTAAGAAGTTTCTAATGTGAATACTGCAGGAAGAGGCTTCAAAAAGCCAGGCTTTGAGTCCCAGTTGGGTGGCCCTGGAAATGTTACTGAATTTCTCTGATCTTCTTGAAGAATACAGAGGATGCTTCCTGCACTGCCACAGGAAACAAAGACACGAGTATCTAGCACAGTGCTGGGTATATAATAAGCATCAAGAGCCAGTAGTCTTAGGCATTATTATCAGGCTGGTACCCCAGCAGCTGCTGCCAGCACCCTTCTCTTTTGCTGCTGCCTGGGCCCAGAGAGACAGATGAACTACTCTGAAATAGCACCGACTGACAGATCTAGGGACCCCACAAGGAATCTCCAGGTAACCCCACACATCCTTATGTCTGCAAATACTTTCTAGCAGCCACATTTTTAAAATGTGAAAAGAAGAAAATTTGAGATTATATATCTCATGTGTTTTTAATTTATATTGGATAGATCAAAGATATTTTTTCAATATGAGTGTTTTCCCACACCTAATGGCAGACCTGAATTTGGCCCAGCCATGATTTGATTCAGAGCTCAATGACCTCAAGGGGCTACCAGGACTACAGTTGACAGCCCAGATCTAAAAGGGGCTGGGTGTGCCTTTCCCCCCTGGGAGAGAGGAGGCTCAAGTGTGGTAGAAGGAGGAGCCTGGGCTTGTGTTTACGATACTTCCCTCCCCCAGGGATACCAATAACGTTTTCTGCAATAACCCCCTGCCAGAGAGGAAGAGAAGAAAAAGAAAGGAAAATTACCAAGAAAATAAATGGTTTAATTTTTTAAATCTCCTCAGCAGATTGATTAGTAATAATAGACAACCACATAGAAAACATATTCTTTATTTAAAACAACAAATAAATAAAACAAAACCCTCCAGCTTTGATTTGGGGCCATCAAGGACCAAGAGATTCAGGGGCCAAACAGGACATGAGGATGTGTGGGGTCCCTAGGCCCAGAGAACCATGGCAGATGTGAGCTGGGGGGACTCTAGTGATCTGGGAAGGCCCTAGTCTCACAGACCACTGGGCTCACCCTGCATTCAGATTTGAGATGTGGACTTGGGTGTGAAAGATAGTACTTACAGCTTGAAGAAAAAAGCCCAGCCACGGGGAAACAGAAGGAAAAACAGAAGGAAACTGGAGGAGACAGGAGGACATACTGAAGAAAACACCTTGTCCTCTGCCTCTTGCTGGTGACAAAGAAAATACCTGAGGTTTTAAAAACAATATGACTCTGAAATATAGTAAATAAATTTAAAAAGTACAAAGCCAAAAACATTCTTGCTAGAGATCCTTAAAACAAAAAGAGTCTAAAACTTTTCAGAAAAAAAAAATGTGTGGTCCGTTCTCCTAGAAATGGGACTGGACTTGCTAACTGTGTGGTTCTTTCTTGCCTGAAGAATCCCCATTTGCTTAAATGGCACTTGAAAAGACAGACATAAGATGACATTTGGATAGACGCCACTTTCTACAAGGAGAAAAGAGCTGGTCTCAGTGGTATAGAGTCTTGTGGGAGCCAAAGAATAAAGAAAATTCTACAGCCAGATTTCCTATTCGAGTCTCAGTCTATAGAAAGTTTGACATCCCAGATAAAGAACAAAAGCAAACTGCAAACCAATATACGAAAAGGTCATTCTGAACATTTTAACCTGAAATGAGAAGCAAAGACAAGGAAAAGACAAGGAACGGATTCTAAGGTACTCAAGTTCCAAATACACAAATCCATTCCTATTTGTTTCATTATCTTTTTCTTTTTCCAACAAGTTGGAGAAAACATGCAGAAATAATGGCCACTGATGGAGTTGACTTCATTCTTCACAGGGCCAAGCTTGAACAAGACACAGCTCCCTGGTGTTTTGAAAAGGGCTGGGTTCTCCATCAATGATGTGGGTATCCAACACCACAGGCCTGCCCTCCTGCTGAATAATACTCCCTGGTCATCTAAAAATGACCCAAATCCTCTGACAGAGCAGTAAATTATTTTGAAAACTTATTATTTAAAAAAAAAAAAAACTTCGTTATTTTTTTAAACCTTCTTAGTGGCTTCAGAATCAAGTGATCATTTCATGTAAATTTGTTTCTTTTCTAGACACAAGGTATATTTTTAATACAATCTTTAATCTGGTCTGAAAAACATACTTCAGTATTCGATGACTTGAAACAGTGTGCACATGTAAACGGATGTTCTATATTGTTCGTTTGTTTCACCTACCAGGAAAGGCATCCACCAGTACTTAAACCCCCTTCCCTTGGCTAGTCACCTAGTTACCAGCTTAACCCAACATTGGGCAAAAAAGAGTATGCAGAAGTCAACACAACACACATCCTGACGAGTTTACAAGCATCAAGAGCAATTTAGAAGCAGGAAATAAATAGAAACATCAACCACAAAAGGTCATCACTCATTCTAGATTTAAAGTGTCCTTTTGGCTTCCTACTTGGCCCGACCCCAGATAACCCACATGTTTGCCCTGCCCCCAGTGGAGGCTCTTAGGAGGGAGCACGTCTCTCTGCACTTCTACCTGGGTGGGTGTGGGCTCCAGCACAAGGAATGGACATTTCCAAAGTGTAAAAACACAAAACAACATACACACACACACATACAAAAAAAAAAAAAAATACCACAAAATAACCGTGGGCCCATGACCTCAAACTGAAAGCTGCAGGTCAGCCAAGGTGAGAGGAGCCATCATGGTGAAATCCTGTTCCTCCTGTTTCTGCAGAACTGGGTACAGCACAGTCAAGAGAGAGTCTCAAAATGGGAAGACATAACAAAGACCGTTTCTCTGATGCAGCCTGGCGGGCTCTAGATAGTTCTCGTTGAGGCAATGAGAAGTGGTGGGGCCTTTGCATTTTCCACCACCCAAACATTCAGCTTGGGCAGGGCACAAGCTCTGCCCACCTGGAGCCCTGGTGTGGTGTCACTGTCCTTGTGTTCTTCGTTCTGACCCTCTCAACAGGATGCAACGAGGTCAGGGCTCTGTGATTTCCAGCTGGTAAACCGTGAGTCTTCTTTTCCTGCCCATCTTTATCAGGAACCTTTCCGCTCTGAGAAAACAAGCAAGGCCTCTCCAAGTCCACCAAGCAGGAGGCTGCAAACAACAGCATGAGGTTAGCTTCTCACTCCTTGCAGATCACCCAAGCTGCCTGGCACCCACGTAGAACAGGACAGGGGACACCTCCTTCGGTCTGTGAGTGCAATTCTCATACCAGCCCAGACTGCCTTGCTTCTAGCTGGAGTCCAGGACCTATCTGCCGCTCAGGGGCAAACCTCCGATACAGTGAGGGAGGTGAGGGGGCTGGAAGACTAGCTTTAACACCTTCCCTGGGGAAGGCAATGGTGTGTTCTGCTCCTCCTGAGCGGCTCAGGCTCCCTGGAGGAAGCACACTAGATAGAAAGGCTTCCCACAGAGCCCTCAGGGGCTTTCTGCTAAAGAGGGCGGATGGCTATGAAATGATGCAGGGGTCCATAGTCTGATCATCAGTAAGGGGATACACTGTGAATCTTTGCATTATCATTTAGACTAACAGAACATTGAGAGGTGAACATACAAATGGGGAATCATGAATTTTCCACCAGAAAGAAATATGGTCAGTGATTTGAAAATGAAGTAGTGTGAGGATGAAAGACAGTGAGGGAAAAAAAAAACAGTTGAATATTTTAACATGCCTAAAATTTAATACTTCCAAAGGTCTCTCCATTTTCTATTTTAAACTTCTCAGTAGACAATCTGGTGTCTGTCTGAATCCCCTGTCATTCTGGGCACTGGGCGGGGCCATCACCAAGGGATTATGATAGTCGGTCCCTGAGGGGGAAAGACTCTACAGAGGAGCCAACCACCCTTTCAAAGAGGTGCTTTTCTTCCCTTCATCTCTATCCACATACCAGTCCTCTTGTGTGCTCATACACAACACACTCACACACACCTCACATACACACACACACACACACATACACACACACTCTGATGACAACACCTTCATAGTTCTTTTTTAATATTTATATTTGAGTTGTAGTTGGACACAATACCTTTATTTCACTTATTTATTTTAATGTGGTGCTGAGGATCGAACCCAGGGTCTCGCACATGCAAGGCGAGCGCTCCATCGCTGAGCCACAACCCCAGCCCAACACCTTCATATTTCTAACATGTTTGGGACGCTGAATATATCAGAAACACATGCAGGCTGCTCACAGTACATTTCCAGTAAAAAATGTCACCTATGTGGGTGACTCTGATATCAAGGTAACTTGCACAATTTTGCACTTCTAATGCAAGAGTGAGTTGACTATGGGTGAGAATGTAAACACAGTCAACTTAGGGTCAGGCTGACTTGAGTTCAAGTTTTGGCTCAGGTATTTATTATCTATGTCGTCTTATTAAGCCTCAGTTTTTCCATCTGGACCACAGAGGCTGACCATTTCTAAAAGCTTCTGTGAGGCTTAGAAATAATATGCCTAAAGCAATCACCGCTGTGCTTGGCAACCATGGACAATCAATAAATTATAATAATAAGAGAATTTTCCTAATCAATTCTGTTCCCAGAACAGCAATCCCTTTCCGTGGATCTCACAGCAGGCCGGCCACCCAACCTGAAGATGTCTAGTGATGGACATGTCCCATTGTGTAAGCCAGCCTGTCACACTGGCGAGGAGCTCTGACACCCACCGAACAAGAGTGTCTCTAGGGAGGCACTGAGTTGGCTCTGGGGACTGATTGAGACATGACTCCGCCTCACACTTGAACACAGCTGCATCTTATAACCTCACCTGTGAGTCTAAGTCCTACTTTCTGAACCAAGAGATAATAAATATATTCCTTCGTCACCCTGGAGATTGGGAAGATCCCCCAAGCTACCAGGGCCCCCTCTCTCAACAAGGGCAGAGTGCATGCGGGTTAAGGAGCCAGTCACTGAGGCAGGGGTTCAAGGGTGCTGCCCACTGGAACAACAGAGGGACAATGGAGATGGGGGGGCAGGGGAGATGAGCACTGAGTTATCTTAAGCTCCAAGTGGGAATATAATTACTTCTTGCTACTGAAATCATATTATAAATACTGAGAATCCATCAATTCCATTGAACTCACGATTGTGTGCCTGGAATCAGTATCTATGTTATGAATCAAATACTCCTCTGAGGACTTCACTCATCTACAGACATCATTTATAGGTTACTTCTGGGAGAAACTGTGGTCCGAGTTCCAAAAGACCCTATTTTGAAACACAACCCACATGTGAAATTGGGGCCCTGCTTGTCCCTTGTCTAGTTCAGGACCCCAGAAACTGGGGCGGGGAGCTTTGTGGTCTTTTCTCTTTGGAAAAAGTGGAAGCTGTTCTCAGCCCACGCAGGCTTTCCTTCCAAAGACCAGGCTTTTCCTTTGAAGCAGATCTTCTGTTTCTCCTCAGTAGCCCCTTAGGATGGCCTGCAGCCTCTCAAGTCCCCAGGCAAGTAGAGAGTCCCTGCAATCAGATGCGAAGGCTGTGTGCAGCCTGCATGGGTTTGGATGGCTTTTATTTCTGCACATGTAACTGGAGGCTCAGTGTTTTATACACTTCCCACTAATCCTCCTAATCACCAGGGAGAAGACCGGGGCAGGCTGGCCCTCTGCCACCTGTCCTCCTACAGCCCGAGAACAATGCTGGAGTGTAACAACCCCATTTCAACCCTTTGGCAGAGTTACTTTACAAAACACCCAAGGAGCTTAGCAAGTGCAAAAATGAAAACAACCTCGCTTCGGTCACTGTGAAGCGAGCCACGGAGGCCAGCTTTGATGTTGCTTTCTAAACGGCAGGAGAAGTGGACACGGGGTCCTGGATTCTTAACAGCATTACAACTATTTAAGTCAGAGCTTGACTGAACTGTTTGCAAATTTTATAATCCTCGTCATTCCTGAAATGAACACACTTCATGTAGCTAAGGCATAAACATCTGACATGTGGCCAGGAATAGCCACCATGAGCTGCTCTTTCAGGGGGCTATTTCAGCCCCTCCCCAGCCCTTCTCTCTTCTCCTATGGAGTACCAAGGGCCTCATCTCAATTTTACGTCTATACTGTGGTAATTCAGTTGATTCCTATTGAACCCAACAGATTGGATGGAGACCGTATCGTTTGCTTGGCTGCAGGCCCAGCACCTAATGTGGTACCCAATAAATATTTATTCAGCAAATGATTGAATTATACTGGTTCTCCCAAATCCCATTTGTATTCCAAACTGCTTTGCTTTTTCTCTCTTCCTTACTAAAATGTATCTGACTAATGTCCCATTCCCTCCAGGACTCAGTGAGTGACAGTTTATAATCTGATAAATTAGAGAAAACTTGAGATTAGGTAATGAACAAAAATGATTGAGAAAGCTCTACTTAGCATTTTTAAAGAGAAGGTTTTAAATTGTTTTTTTATGTACCTTTATTTTGTTTATTTAGTTTTATGTGGTGCTGGGGATCAAACCCAGTGCCTCACATGTGCCAGGCAAGCTCTCTACCACTGAGCTACAACCCCAGCCCTCAAATTCTAATTCAAATGGAAAATTAATAAATGTCAGACACCATGATCCTAATGGCATTTTGGTATGTGTTGGGGAAGCCCTTCTTGCCCCTAAACTCATTCTTCCTATGAAAAAGAGGTCCCCTGAAATCAAAGGGATGGGATATCTTGACTCTAAGATGATTTAAGATTATTTTTAAAAGATGCTTAGTGTTGGTGAGGTTTGCTTTAGGATGGAATTTGAGCAATCTTCATGACTGGCACGCAGGTTCAATGAATAATGGGAGGAGGAGTGGGGAAAAAGGAGAAAAGTTGATTGTGGAATCCTTAGAATAAACACTGGGCATTTCCATTCTTGCCTTGTACCTAAACCATTCCAAAGACAAGGGTGACTTTCCTGGTCTAGAAAAGGGGGTTTAGAGAAGAGTCTCCACAACTAATTCTACTTCACAGGGATTCTGCTCCCACGTCAGAACATTTCCCTCTTGTATGTGAGAACCTCTTTTGCTGAAAGTTTAGAATAGAGGAAATCAGTATTGATATATGCCATAAAACTGTTAATTAAAAACCAAATGATTAAGTATAATCTCGATATTTAAATTACTGAGCTTGAACTAGATTGTTTTTATAATTAAAAACATGATAAATGGCTGGATAAGAACAGTTGCTTTTAATTAAAGACTGAAAATTGACCCACATGGGTTACTTAGGTTGGAAACTGTTCTTGGATACAATATGTGTTCATTCAGCATGTACTTGGTGCTAGACTAGAGATATAAAGGTACATGAAAACCAGCCCTTCTCTGCTACAGTTGCTTGCAGCCTTATGGGCAGGACAAGTGTGCACACCTAGCTGTCATTCAACACCACCAGTGCTTCCAGAGCCAGAGCCAGACCCAGACCCAGAGTGGGCAAGAGGTGCTACTAAGGACTTGACCCCTGAGCTGATCCAAATCTCTAATTAAGAGATGAGCAAATTTTGCAATTTGCTGAAATTTCAAATGGCATTTTCCCCACTCATTTCCATGAATCTTGAGATCAACGATTTCCAAGGGGGGTGATTTTACTTCCCCAGGGAGCATGTCACAATGTCTAGACATTTTCCATTACGACTGAGGGGGTATTATTAGCATTTAGTGGGTTGGGGTTCAGCTTCACTGCTAGACATCCTACAAGGCACAGGACAGCGTCCCCACAACAAAGAATCATCTAGTCTCAAATACCAGTGGTCTACAGAGTGAGAAACTCGACTTTAGAGGGCCTATTTTGTGCAACTAAGCTGCTATCCACCCAAGAAAGTGGATAATGACATTGTGGGACCCTTGCCAGAGTCAGGGATTAAGTTTACCTCTGTAGCCTCAGAGCCCAGCCCTGCAGTTGTGTGGCATGAATGAACATCCAAATGACTGGATACAGGATGTCAGCTGGAGCAGGTCCTTGGCCCCCAGGGGTGGTGAAGGCTGTGCAGAACTGGAGAGCACCTGGCCACATGCAAGGGCAGCTCTGTCTACTCCAGCAATGCTCCTGTGAGCAAGAGCAGGCCCACATTAACTAACAGCTGTTCCACATTTTCAAAAGAATCTGGAAGGCTGGACTGGTAAAAGAAAATCACCCAATTTCTAAATGTCGATGACTAAGTCAAAATTTGAAAAGCAAAACACAAGAAACTATAACTGTATAGGCAAATGCAGTAGGTTTAAAAAAAAAAAATTGGCCTGTCACCCCTGCCTTGTGTGACTTCTGATGGGTCTAAACTCCCACACCACAATGATCAGCCCACCCCTCCAAGGACCTGAGAGATGGTCACTTAACCACACCTGAACACGCCCAGTGCAGACACAATACAACTAGCTCTGTGCATGGCAGAAATGTGAATTACAGTCTGACACGCCCCTTCTGGTGGTTCACTTTGTGGTAGGAAAATTCTTTGAGGCTGAAAACACACCATTCTTACCCTCAAGAGTTTAAAAAAAAAAAATCAGGAAATTCCAAAGTCAAGGTTCTTTTTGCAATAATCACACATGCTGCTTCCTTGATTTGGATACACACAGCATTTCTTTCCATTTTGTTTGGGGCATACCCTCAAGTTCACAGGATGTGAAACAGTCTAGAGACACAGCCTCTTGCAGACTAGAGCCTCTTTAATATCCCGACTTAGCATTTCCTGGTCGCTGGTGAACTGTCTAACTCTTGTTTCTCACGCTCAGTTCAACACCTGTGTTTTTCTGGTTCATTCTGAAATTCTTTACAAAATATGATTGATTGAAGTATTATGTGTAAGAAAATCAAGAATTTAGACTAAGCCTGGTACTATGGTGCATGCCTATAATCCCAGCAACTCAGGAGGCTGAGGCAGGGCGATCATAAGTTCAAGGATAGCCTGGGCAACTTAGAGAGACCCTGTCTCAAAATAAAAAAATAAAAAAAAGGGGGGGGGGGGCTTGGGATGTAGTTCAGTGGTTAAGGCCCGTGGGTTCAATCTCCATTACCAAAAATCAAAACAAAATACCACCACGACTAATACCATGAAGGTTAAGGATACAGAAATTTGGAGATTTAAGAATGTCCCAGGAGGCAAATGTTTTCTCCCTTGGATGTTGGGTTTGGGACATCAACCAGCCCACCATTTAATGTCATTTCTTTCCAAGTTAAGTGCAGAAGAAGAAAGAGGGAGCATGGATTAGTGGCTGACCCACAGCCCCAGCTTAAACTACTGAGTCTCACCATTGGCACCTCCCGCCCTTTTTTTCCCGGGTGAGAGGGGCTAAGTCCTCTCCTATCCCTTGGTCTACATAAGCCTCTCTCTTCTGCATGAGGTTCAGTATCAAGCTAGTTCAGGCCTTTCTTCCAAGTACTCCTGTCTTCTCTCCCTCCTTCAGTCTGCATGCTCACTGGGCATTCAAACAGCTGTTATTCTACCATCCCATGAATTAAGCTTTTGATTTTCCTTTTCATTGAATGCCCCTTGAGGGATGGATGATGTTTTATGCTTTTTAATGGCTTCCATATAAGTTGCAGACAGCAGTCACACAATAAATACATTGACTGATGGAATCATAGCTATCATATTCAAATTAAAATAAAAGATGATGAGACTTTTGTCCTAAAAATGCTACCCTGGACATTTTGTTGTTGTTGTTTGTTTCCTGATTCAGCCCCTAAGCAAGAATCAGAACTGTCTTGGCTTCAATTATGATCCCTCTGTTTTGCTGTTAAATTATCTATATATCTCATATCACTGCTATGGTTTGGATGAGTGATCCCATGGGCCCACATGCTGAAGTCCTGGCTGCCTGTGGTGCTATTGGGAGGTGATGGGACCTGTAGGAGAGGGGGCCTAGTGGGAGGAAGTGAGGTCATCAGGGATGTGTCCTTGAATGGGATTGTGGGCTCCAGTCCCTTCCTCTTTCTCTCTTTGCTTCCCAGTTGCCATGAGGTGAGCATCTCCCACCAACATATGCTCCCCACCATGATGTCCTGTGTCTTTATAGGCCCCAAAGCAATGGGCCCAAGCAACTGTGAACTGAAACCTCAAAACCCATGAGCCAAAATAAACCTTTTCTCCTTGTTAGCTGATTGATTCTGGTATTTGTTACAGTAACACCACCACTTGGGTGGGAAGAGGAACATCTAAGCCAACTTCCCTCATCCCTCCCTTATGAGATTCTACCTGGTACACTGTCTATTCTGAAGGCAGGTCTGTGGTGCTTCTTAAATCAGTTCTAGAAGGTTATGGGGCTTTGGACACACAGAGCTCTGGGTTTGAATCCTGGTCTAATCATCTTATGGCTACAGTATCCTTTATTTCAGTTTCTTCATCTTTTTAATATGGAAAATTTGAAGGATTGTTGTAAACGTGAAATAATAGTAAGGTAAAATGTTGAGAGCATAGTATTTGCTCAATAAATATTTAGTTGTTATTAAAAGGAAGAGGAGGGGAGAATAGGAGGAGGTGGAGGAGGAGGAGGAAGGTACAGGAGTATTTCCTAATTATTCTTTTCCTTTCATTTTTCTTCTTGGGGCAGAAAATGCCCCCCATTAGTGGCTCCTGAGAGAAGTCTGGAATCACTTTTCTTAGTGCTGTGAACCAAAATACTCATTTCTGTTAATGTGGGATGGTTTAGATATGGCCTTGCCTTGGGCAGGGGAATGAGCACCTATGGACACCACAGAGGCAGCAATTTCTTACTTTAAAGAACAGTTCCTGGCACATATTAGGCATGGGTAAATATCTATTTATTGAATAAGCCCTCCCAGGCCAAGGCCACATGAGATTCAAGTTCATCTCTTAGACTTACCCATCATGGTATTCCACAGGGCCACCAGTCCTGCCCCTCACACTTCTCCCACAGGAATCTCCTACTGATATTTAAAAATAACACTGTTGTTTCAGTGGCTTCGATAGCACCCAAAGCATCATTCAAGAAGCCCTGAGAGAAACCAGGATGCCATGGGTACACCTAGGTACCAGCACCAGCTCCCACCAACCAGATGTGGTCCTGAGTCATATATGAGAGTGATATATTCACTCTTCTGATTGTCAATTTATATATCAGTAAGAGTCTTCTTTAACAAAAAAGCTTTTACTAATACAAGACTTACATTAGGATGGACACATACACCCAATACATACTCTTTCTTCCACATTTGAGCAAAAATTAGTATCCTGTTGAAAGTGAAACAACAAATTTGCATTTCCTTTCATTGCATAAGACTTACCATCCCACAATTGGACTGGTCAGGGTCACATCAAACAGTAATACTGATAGTCCAGCTGTGACCACCTGCAGAAAGAATTGCAACAAAAGATCACCAGAGCAGCAGGACTCTGGGAACCCCCAGAATAATTTCTCACAAGCTTACATCATATTATTTCACACCCCTTGACATGAGCCATGTCTTTCCATTTTGTGTCCTTTTCCCCCACACACCTCCTAATCCCAAGCATTTAGTGTGGCCTCTGAGCAAAGCGTTTGGAAAATGCTAAATCCTAGTCTGATTTGGAAGTAAAAAAAAAAAAAAGAGGCACACAGCCAACGTTTCTTATCTCAGGAAAGGAGGATATTAATTATATTCATTTCCATCTTGCCTCACATATGGAATTCATCTCCAAGTTAAGGCTGCTCACTACCCTGTCCCCGAACACACATGTATCTGTCAATCTGCCTTGTCCATAGCACCCTAGTTCCATCTTTCCGGCCCATTATGCATTCTAAGATACCAGGAGCTTCCCAGGGAAGAGAGCAGTTAAATCATTAATTATCTGCAAGTATCAGAAGCCAAAAGAGAGAGAAGAGGTATCCCCATATCTCTCAGAGCTATAAATTCCAGAAAAGTCTCTTAGGAATGGCAGTTGTAGGACCCAGACTCCAGAGGTGCTTCTGAGCAACCGGCACAGAGATTGTGTGTGAACCAATGATCCAACCTTGTCCACACTCGGAACAACTGCTTAAGACAAGCTGTTTCTTGCCTCCAGAATTCTGTATTCTGCAGGTCAAAACAGGTCCCATGAAGAAGGTGATCCTGAGGACCTGCTTTCTTGCTGTAAGAGGAGGTGGGAAGCAGGCCGTGTTGGAATGAGGGTCATTCATGCTGGAGACCCTAGGAAATGTCAACTACCCATCCCCCATGAGACTTTATATGCTGCCCTAGAGGCCTCTTTAGGCCTCATGGATGGGAACAAGGCAGGAAGCAGATGGCCAAAAGGAGGGAGCAGGTCTGATGAACCCTCTCCTTACCCACTTAACATCTTTCATTTACCATCTTAGAAAGAAGTTTGGAAATAGAAACGCAAACCCTTCCGTATGTAAACTTTATGACATTTTGAACTTTCTGGTTTACCTGTTGGCCTCACATTCTGAGTTTTTGGCAAACTTTGTTTGCTCCCCTAATTGCTTTGGAGCAAAACCCTGGACCACCAGAAAAGATCTATGTACCATTTTCATGGACAAGAAAGTAGAAACCAGCTGGGTGCAGTAGTGCATGCCTGTAATCTCAGTGGCTCAGGAGGCTGAGACAGCAGAATTGCAAGTTCAAAGCCAGCCTCAGCAACTTAGCAAGGCCCTAAGCAACTCAGTGAGACCCTGTCTCTAAATAAAATACAAAATAGAGCTGGGGATGTGGCTCAGTGGTCGAGTGCCCCTGAGTTCAATCCCTGGTACCCAGAAAAAAGAAAAAAAGAAAGTAGAAACCAGATCAGAGGGACAACTGCAAAGTGGGACAAAAGGAAAGATTTCTCAAAGTGGGAAGTGAGTGGTGGGGTTTTTCCCCCCTTAAAGGACACGATGAATGACAGCTGTCCCTCATTCCTCCTTCTTCTTCTTTTTAAAAATACAACATTTCACTTAGGACATCTGCATCTATGGTCATAAGTGAGGCAGGGCTAACACTGTGTTACCTTGCAATGTGGTCATCTGGTTTTAAAAACAAGGCTACACTAAAGCACAAGAGTGAGTCCACCTGCTTCACTGTTTTCCTATAAAGGATAAAGCATTCTTGAACATGAAAGTTGACCCTGATTCCAAGGCCCCTGGACCTGGAGATTCTAGTTGTGGTAGCCTTTAAGAGCCCAGTCAAGTCTTTTATTGCGTCTTAAAAGTTTTCCATGTATACGGTTTCCAAAAATGTATCTCATCTAGTTTCCCAATAGATTAGCATTTAGCCATTTGGAGACATGATTTTATAGTGTGTGTGCCTGCTTTCATTATGTTCCTTTTTATTCTTATTTTTATTGTCGTTTTTTTCTCTCTTGTTTTTCCTTCCTTGGTCTTGACCCAAATTAACTACCTTGTTAATCCCTCTTTCCTATTGCAACCTCTTGGACATTTCCTGGAATGGTGCTAATTGAGATGCACTTCTTGGCACTGAGGGGAAGAGCGCAGCCTACTGCTGGATGTCAGTGTGGTGGCAATGTGGTATAAGGGAACGCTTCTCTACGTCTGTGAAGGGCCCCCTGGACACTTCTATTTCTTCACCACTATTGTCATTCCTTTGTCCATTTTTATCAGCTACATGAGGCCCTTTTTTGATCAGTTTCTCTCCTTTTTCCAGTTTTCTCCTTTTTGCCTCTTTCAGCCTGGGAAGAGGGACACCTCCCTTGCTCTGCCACACCCACAGCTTGGGGCTGGTGTCTCTGTCCCACAGGAGCTCCTTCAGCCTAGGAGGATTCCCGGCAGCCGTGACACAGGCCGCTGGCCTGCTTCTTCCTATTAACTGCACCATTTGCCAACAAAAACACATCTTCAAATTTTCAAACCAGTCCTGACTTGCAAACAAGATTGGTTTTGGTAAACCACGCTGGTGCCTGCACCATCTGCTCCTTCCTGGAAATGTTTGTGTAGCCTCCCGCCTTTCTCCTGAGCCATGTTCTAAAACTTCTTGGACATTTTTCTCTTTCAATGAGTGAGTTTGCTGCTGGCTGAGATGCTCAATGAAAATCTTAGAAATAGGTGTGTCTTATTTCTGTCACAAATGTACAGTGAAGTTGTTTGCCTGGCAGAGCCACCAGGCAGTGGGGCGTGCCACTCTTTCAGGAAGAACTGTCAGTTGCTTAGGCTGCTCCACTTGGCTCTCCTTTCCCCACCAGCCCTGACAGTCAGCTCTCCTTTTAGGGGCATTTTCTTTCTGTTTCTTCTTCTCTCTTTTGCACAGAGTTGCTGTAGTCTTACCAATTCACAAAAGCCAATTCTTAAGAAAGGGCATGCAGCAGGCAGCCATGCCTCTGAGCAAGGTTGACATGGGGCAGCTGGGCATCCTGGCTTACCCACTGAGAGAATTGCTCCCACATCAGCCTCACCGCGTGTGAGGTTCAAATTCATGGCTCAGCAAAATGGCAGATTTCTGTGCACCATGAGCTTTCATTGGCCTAACCTACAGTGCCCTTGTTAAATGTGGTCACATCAATGGTCCACTCCATTTCTCATTCCACCAGGGAGGAAAGAGAAGCCAGGAGAAGCTGAGTGGTCCAAGCCTAGGTGCAGAATGTTTCACACAAAGTCACCAAGGGGCAGAACCTGAGAGGTGGAAGGGACAGCCTTAGTTCATAAGTAGGATACTGTGGCCCAGAGATGGTGACTTGCTCCAGGAACCCTTCTGGTTTGCAACAGCAAGGGGTAGAACAAAGGCCTTGACCCCTAGGTTAACCTTTTCTCATAGCCAGGAGCACAAGCAAGGGCTCACACAAGCCCCACACTGCTTAAAAGGGAAGAACCCACTGAAAGTAGAAACTCAAATGGTTATTTGCACATCTGTGTTCATAACAGCATTATGTACAACAATCAGATGCAACAACCCAAGTGTCCACTGAGGGCTGGACAGACAGAATGTGGTACAGACATCTGACAGGATATGATTCAGCCAGAGAGAGAGAGGAGATTCTGAAACGTTACCAAATGGATGAACCCTGAAGACACTGTGCTGAGTGAAATAAGCCAGTCACAGAAAGACAAAAACTGCTTCCACTTATATGAGGTACTTAGTCATCCAACTCAGAGAAACTCACAAAGACAAAGTTAAAGTTTGGGAAAAAAACAAATTTATGGACATGGGTAATAGATGCACAACAATATAATGCTGATGAACTGTCCATTTAAAAATGGTGAAGATGGTAAAACCTATGTTTATTTTAACACACACACACAGAATCTACATCCTTCTCTCTGACTGAATTTTTAATTTTTACCCACTCCCCCAACTTTGCCCGACTAAATCTCAAGGCTCCTCTCTAGGCTCCTCTGAAATAAGGACTCTTCAGAATTGCTATGGTTTGTCCCCTGAGCTCAGGTGGGAATTTAACCCCAAAAGTCTCATGTCAATAGCAGCAAGAGGGTGGAAACTAAGTCCAGCCACAGTGTTTAGAGGTGGGGCCTTTGGGAAGTAGTTAGGAGCAGATAAGGTCATTAAGGTGGGAACCCTTGACTATAATCCTGATGGCTCTATACAAAGAGGGAGAGAGACCAGACATAAACATGCATGTCCCCCATCTGTTACCATCTGAGGCCTCGTGCCACCTTGGGACTCTGCCAGCAAGAAGTTCAGCACTAGAACTACTGATGCCAGTGCAATGCCCTTGAACCTCCAAAACTATGAGCTAAATAAATGTTTTTTTCTTTACTTGCCTCAGGTATTTTGTTATAGTAACAAAAAATGGGTCCACCAGGAACCTTTCCCAAGTGCCCTGTTGCTTGACCTGTTCTCCCCCCAGCATTTGTTCTCCCTACCTGGGCGAGAGCCTCACAAACTGCCTACTGTTTTGTCTCTTTGTCACTGATGTATTTACAAGTCAATCTCCCCTCTCCAGTCTGTGAACCTGAGGTCAAAGACATTAAACCATCCCAGCCTGGAGCTCAGTCGGCATCTACTAAGGAAGGAAAGACTGAGAGCCACTGCTGATCTCTCAGTCACCCACACAAGAAACAGGCACAGTACTTTTGCTTGTTAGGAGGGTCAGCTCTGAGGGAGAGGTTCTTCAAGAGCTTGAAAACTTATAATTTGCTCTGAAACATATGTAGAAGCATTTCATTTCAACCCAGAAACAAAATTTCTTCTCATTTTGGAGGAAAAAAAAAACTTTAAACAGAGGGGTCAAGTAGGAAGAGTCTACTTTTTCCTATTGGAAATACCTTGGGGTACTGGAATACCTTGGGAGCTTAGAAAGGAGTGTGTGTGTGTGTGTGTGTGTGTGTGTTGTGTGAAGAGCATAACTTTAATTCCTAATTTCCAGCTCCTTGAAGGCAAGGTCACCAAATGCCAAATGGACCACAGAGCAGTACCAAGAACATGTAAG